AGAACCGTTCGGTACCATTTTGTTTCGGAACGGTACAATGCCAAATACATGCTAAAAAATTTGAACAAAACTTGCAATTAGTAGATATCATCAAACCAACCAATTCACATGAAATGTTGAAATAAATACAAGAAATTGCATACATAATACTAAAATTCACAAATACACAAATAGTACAACACAACTAAGAAAAAATATAGCAAAATAATGACGCACGAGATAAACATCATATTTAATTTACTAAGTTCATGTGAATATATAAAAACGAATATCATCAAATTGTTGAATATAATAGGAATATTCAATGTTGTTCTTCTTCGTTCTAGGTTAAATATTATCATGTAGTTCTAATTTAATTTATAGTTGAACCTTGAGAGCTAAGATTTAAACCATATTAATTAGGTTGTAAAAATTACATAAACATGATACAACAAAAAGTCATGTACACTACATTACTAGAAATGAATAGTCATTAATGATTTCTAAAATTTTAATATTCCTTCAATACATACCAAAATAGAACATCAATTATATAAAAAGAAAAGAGTAGCAATATATATATATATATATATATATATATATATATATATATATATATATATATATATATATATATATATATATACATACATATATACATATATATACATATATACATATATATACATATATACATATATATACATATATACATATATACATATATATACATATATACATATATACATATATATATATACACACACACACACACACACACACACACACACATATATATATATATATATATATAAACACATTTAGATATCTTAGGGACACATGAATACATATTTGGGGTATCAAATGGTTGATCTATAAAAGAGATCTATTGATATAGAAAAAATATAAAAAATTCGAATGCATTATTTTCGAACGGTTCGGTTCGGTATTTTTCGGTTATCAAAGTCTAGGACCGGTCTCCTACCCGTTTCAAACGGTACGGTTTCGGTATAGGATAAAAATCTATAGAACCGTTTATATATCCGATATTCGGTCCGGTACCATTACGGGACGGTTCGGTACTGGTTCGGTTCGGGTTTATGCCCACCCCTACTAGTTTAACTATAAATGTGCAATTTTGTGAAGGATAAAGTGCATCGTTTTGGAGTGTTCTCATTTCTATGTTAAGGAGTTTTCTCACCGGAACCGCACCATATATATATATATATTAGAGGGAAGAGTTCAAATGAAAAGTGGTTTTCTCGTGCAAAGTGCAAAGTTTTCACTTTTTCATAGGGGTGGGCATAAAACCCGAACCGAACCCGTACCGAACCGTCCCGTAATGGTACCGAACCAAATAACGGGTATTTAAACGATTCTATAGATTTTTATCCCGTACCGAAACCGTACCGTTTGAAACGGGTACGGGATTGGTCCTAGATTTTGAGAACCGAAAAATACCGGACCGAACCGTTCGAAAATAATGCATTTGAATTTTTTATATTTTTCTATACCAATAGATCTCTTTTATAGATCAACAATTTTATAGCCCAAGTATGTATTCATGTGTCCCTAAGATATCTAAATGTGTGTGTTTATATATATTGTTACTTTTTCTTTTTAGATAATTTATGTTATATTTTGGTATGCATTGAAAGAATATTAAAATTTTAGAAATCATTAATGACTAATCATTTCTAGTAATGTAGTATACATGACTTTTTGTTTTATCATATTTGTGCAATTTTTACAACTTAACTAATATGGTTTAAATCTTAGCTCTCAATGTTCAACTATAAATTAAATTAGAACTACAGAGTAATATTTAACCTAGAACGAAGAAGAAGAATGTTGAAGATTTCTATTATACTCAACAATTTGATGATATTCTTTTTTATATTTTCACATGAACTTAGTAAAATAAAGTTGATATTTATTTTGTGCGTCATCGTTTTGCTATATTTTTTCTTAGTTGTGTTGCACTATTTGTGTATTTGTGAATTTTAGTAGTACGTATGCAATTTCTTGTATTTATATCAACATTTCATGTGATTTTGTTGGTGTGATGATATCTACTAATTGCATGATTTGTTCAAATTTTTTAACATGTGTTTGGCATTGTACCGTACCATTTTGTACCATTCCGAAATGACATGGTAACGAACGGTTCTATCCTTGGAACCGGACCGTACCGGACCGTTAAAAACCTTACGGATACATTACAGGTTTTACCAATTTACTGGACCGTTCCGGACCGCGCCCACCCCTACTTTTTTATGTTTCGTTTGCACTTTTTGGCCATTTGGATTTTGGCCAAATTCGGCCAAAATGACAGTGGCAGTTTTGTAAATAAACCATTTTTTTGAGCTATCGCGAAAAAGTGCAACAAAAGCAAGAAAAAGTGCAAGCGAAACATGAAAAAGTGCAAACTTTGTACTTTGCACGTTAAGATCACTTTTTATTTGAATCATCCCCTATATATAGAGAGAGGTTCAAATACAATATACAATATACTACTTATATGAAAAATGTGAAGTAATTTTAGCCGTTAAAATGAGAAAATGAATGAATCAGATCAAATTTAAAGTGGAAAATTCGGTGCCAATAGTGTAAATATTAGAAAATTCGGTACCAATAGTGTAAATGATAAAACAAAAGTGCATCACTTTTCGGGGGGGGGGGGGGGGGGGGGGGGGAGCAACAAGTATAGAAATCATTTGTGTTATTTTTTTAGGAGGTGAATATGCACTCTTACCTATGACATATGGACTTTTACTATTATGTATTACACATTTTGGTTTACCGTGAGTTTTGATCTATTCCATCCATTTTAAGTAATCAAGCACTTTTTTTGGGAAAACCTATTTGTATTTGAACTCACCCCTATATATATATATATATATATATATATATATATATATATATATATATATATATATATATATATATATATATATATATATATATATTAAAGATCAAATGAGAACAAGGTTTAACGTGAGAACGTGATAACAACACATTTACCCCGTTGTAATGCACAATGAGGCTAGCCTAATGCACTTTTTCACGTTCAGCATAATATGTAGATTATTTACCAAAATGCCACCGTAATTATTTATATTGTCTTGTTTGGAGCAAAGTCAAAATGTGCATCAGACGGACTCTATTGTGTATCACATTGGGTTAAATGTGAGTGTTCTCACATTCTCACATTAAGCATCGTTCTCATTGGAACCGCACCCTATATATATATATATATATATATATATATATATATATATATATATATATATATATACATATGTGTGTGTGTGTGTGGTAAATTGCTTTTAGTTGGACCAAAATATAACATTTTTTCAAAAATAGGATTATATGTTTGGTTTTCCTATTATGTTTTTTAAATAGGAAAGTATACCATTAAGAATTTGGCTCCTCTCCAATGGCTGGATTTTCCGGTAAGAGAGATAGAGAGATGAGAAAATTGTGGGGTAGGGAAAAATAAAATGTAGGGTTTACTTATTTATTCTTAATAAGTTTAAAGTGAAAAAGAAATGGAGATAGGAAATTGAGACAAAGAAATGGAGACAAGGAAATGGAGAGTAGTATGATTATACCTTTAATGACCGAGATTCTATTTGTTTATTGTTGTTTGAAATGCTAAAATTCTATTTGTACACTTTATACACACATCTGTATGAAGGCAATTTTTTTGTCTGTGAACGGGATTCACAGACAAAAAATAGCCTTCTCACAGATGTGTGTATAAGGTGTGTATAAGAAAATGTGTACAAGTAGCAAAAGTGTTTGGAAGGTCCTAATTGGTGAACCTTGTTAGTTAAAGTACATGTGTACGTAGGGCGACACAATGTTACTACCTTCGTCCAATGTTCTAAACGGCGTAAGGCGTACCGAGGTGGCACATGAAGCTCTAAGCCTTTGAAGCCTAGACAAGTTTAAGCAAGACATAGGCGTGAAGACATTTCATTATTTTTCCCTTTATTTTAGCTTTTTTAAAATTATTGTAAAAGGTTTTTTAATGTAAATATATCGACGGACAAAAATGTAACTATAACTTACCACGAGCAAGTGTTGTAGTCACCTAGGTCATCCACTACCGGTTAGAACAAGTCATATTCCGGTAAATTGGCTTGTGTGATTGATTTTCAAGAGAAAATATTCATATGGTGTTTATTTTAGTAAATGAATTTAAGTGATGGACCTAAAATTATAAAATGATGTATTGCACCTTTTTCTCAAAAAAGATATACTCCCTCGGTCCCGAATCGAATGATAAACTTTGATCGGCACAAAGATTAAGGAATGATAATAAATGATGTTTGCTTTTTACACTTTTGTCCATCTTTTTAAAAAAAGATGCACTTAAGTTAATGAGGAAAAAGTAAAAGTAACGGTAAATTTGTCACGTTATTCTTATTTACATACCTAAAATAAAAAGTGAAAAATCATTTTGGAACAAACAAAATAGGAAATTTTGCAAATCAAATACGGACGGAGTAGTAGGAAAAGATCAAGGAGGATTAGATCGGCCAAGTTGCAGGGTAGGTTGACTTACTTCATAACTACTCCGTAGTGCGAATTGGATACACAGTAGCTGACTTACTTCTAATCAATGGCTCCTACTAGATAAAATATGCTTATATTACAACCTTAAGTACAGTATAATTCATTGTTTCCTAATTTCTTACTACCTCCGTCCCAAAAAGGTTCACCATATTGACTTTTCTTAGTCAATGATTGTAAACTTTGGACAATGATTTTAATTACTATATTTGTACATAATTTATAAATTTTATACTTTTATGAAAATATTTTGAATAAGGAACACTGTGATGTAATTTTCATATTCTAATTAATTTTGTATTAAAAAATATCATAGGTCAAAGTTGATAGTCATTGACAAAAAAAAATCAATTTGAGGAACCTTTTCGGAACGGAGTGAGTAGCATATATAAAATAAATAATCTAACAGATTTAACATACCTAAATACATACGGAGTAATTTTTGATCGATGTAAGCAAATTTATAAATAAATCACAAAATCCTAGCCTTAATTAATTAGTGTAAAGTCTTACCATAAAAATAGAAAAATAGTTGAAAAAATGACCGAAGTATGATTACTGCACTTTCGATGGACAAAAGAAGGACCTGTTTTAATTTTGCACAAATATAAGACTAAAGGTAGTATAGAATGTCTCAAATACCCCCTAACCTAAATGGCCATCCATCTACTTCCGTTTCTCCAGCGCCGCACCAATTAAGCTCCTAGATCCAAATTTGTTAAGGTCGCCCATCTCTTCCGTTGCTTCACCACCGGAGATGCGACGAGCTCACTTCGCAACTACCTAGGTGGCGATAAGATCGACGATGACCTCCTCCGCGTCCAGGTCGCCGCTTCCTCCTCCAGGCCGCCGCCGCCTTTTACTCTTCTCCTTCTCCATTTTCTATCTCAAATCGATGGCGGTAATGGCGGAAATGAGGACTGCGGGTGAAGAAATTGATGGCTGAATCGACGAATGCGATTTGGAAGCGTAACGGCGATGAGGACTCCAGACATCGGCAACGAGGGTTGCGGGGTTATCGACGGCCGCAACTAGGGTTATGCGGTTGTTGTTGGCTGTCGCAGCTTGGTTTTCGCGGCCAACGACAGCCGCGGCCTGGGGAAAACAGAGGGGGTTGGGGATGGGGGCAGAGCAGTAGAAAGAAGGGTAGGCATGGTGGTGACGGAGGGGCAGAGGGTGGTGGTGCCAGAGGGGCAGATGGCGGGGTGAGGGAATTGAATGGGCTGGGGGGCTGGGTGATGTAGGGGGCTGGGTGACCAGAGGAGAGGGCTGGGTGAGGCAGGGGGATGGGGTGTGGTGGTCACCGGAGGTGGTGGGCGCCTGCGGTGGCCGGAGGTTGTGGTTGCCGGTGGTGGCGGTCATCAGTGGTGGCGAAGTCACTGTGACCGGTGTCATTATGGTGACCTCACCGTAGAGGTGTCACTTTTGCGGATAGTGGCCTCTGGCCACCGCAAGCGCCCACCACCGAGGTGTCACTGTAGAAGCAGGGGCTGGCGGTGGAAACCGGGGCTGGGGGCTTGGGTAGGCGGGAAAGGGGTTGGGGTTTGTGTTGAAAGGAGCTGGCGGTGGTGGCTAGCGGTGGTCGACGGTGGTGGTTTCGATGATAAAACTAGATTAATGTTGCAGAAGTAACTATGCCCCGAGTCTTTGAAATTACTCTTTGAGACCAGAGGCGGTGATCAATGATCGATGGCGGTGGCCGCTGGTCACTATTGCGCGTGTCACTCTAGTGAGTGTCACTGTGGCCGATATTGAAAACTACAAAATAAAGTCACTATGAATTAAGGGTAATTTAGTAAGTTTAAAATTTATTAGTCATATTTTTGGAAATTACACAATAAGGTCACTTTTTTGTCATTTATCCACTTTTTAGTAATATTGACGTCAAAACCCCAAAATAGTTTTACCCATAAGAAGTAATTAATCGACCCCTATAGTACAACCAATTAAATTAAACTCTTCGGGTAAATAAGAAAGAAGAAAGTATAATTAAGTTTCTTTTCATACACATTTCTTACTTCGTATTTAATTCGAAAATTACTCTAAATAGGATTAAAACTATGACAAAAATCCAAAATAGGATCATATTACTCCTATTGGAAACATACTTATTTTTTTCATTTCATTCTTACTCCTTCTTTAAATATGAGTAAAAGGTAGTCAAAAGTCATAATTAAATGTTTAATTCCAAATAAAATCAATTTTTTTAAAAAAAAATCGTAGAAAAATTATAAAAAAATTAATAAAATATTTATAAAATAAAAAATTAATATTTTTTTGAAGTTTTTTTAAAAAAATAATAATAAAGAATAGTAAAATTCTATAAAAAAAATATGGATGCCTTTCCCACCGCCTGTACTGCCTCCCTGCACCACCACCTCCAACCGGTGTAAAAAATGTTATTTTTTCTGAAAACTGCCATTTTTCTGAAAATGTCAAAAAAAACATATTACTCTTTGAGAATGCCAATATTTTCATTGGATCTGCCATAAATATGGCATTAGTAATAGATGTGGAATTAGTGACTGGAGGTAGTGGTGCTGGGGCGGTAGAGGCGGTGGTGATATTTTTTGCGTTTTTTATTTTATTTTAATTTTTTAAATTGGTTTTTAATTTTTTTAATTTTTATTATTATTATTTAAATATTTTTATTAATGTTTTAGTATTTTTTCGAGTTTTTATTACAGTATTTATTATTATTTTATTACTCTATCCGTTTTAGTTTCTTTGACACAGTTTCCTTTTTCGGTCGTTTCAAAAAGATTGACACACTTCCTTATTTCCTTATTTAGTAAACAAATTTTTACCAAAACAGTGCTAACAGTGTTCAAATGGTGTCAAACAATGCCAAATAATGTTTTCAACAGTAAAATTTACTCTTCAGTAACATTTTTTCCATAATTATTGACAAGTCAAACTATGTCAAACAAATGAAAACTGAGGGAGTATGAATTAAAGCATTTCAATATCTAGTCACACAATAGGTGCTAAAAATGGGGTACCCATTTGGGTACTATTTTTGTTTGGTTTGTACAGTACTAGTTTTCTTATACTCCGATCCTATATATACTCTGTATATAGAAATAATTAGATAAATATGATCAAAATAAAGATGATTTACAAAAATATGACTAATGACTAGAGTAGTAATGAAATCGTAGTAATTCATGTTCAAGTTTTGAGCTTAAGTTACCACAACACTACATTGTAGTAATGAATTATCATATTTATCTAAATATATTTTATTTTAGTAATATTCTTATAAAAAAACTCGCATATATACCTCACTACGTGTATTCAAATTCGTGATTATCATTTACGTAGAGCATCAATCAGTGTGTAAGAAGGTAGCAAGCTGAATAATAAAATGGCGCTGAAAGTGGAAGTCTACGAGAAGGAGAACGTGAAGCCATTCATTCCAACCCCGGAATCATTAAACGCTTATAAGCTCTCCCTTCTTGATCAAATAGCCGGGACTTTTTACATGCCCGTTGTCTTCTTCTACGCCCACTCCGCCGCCTCTCCCCACCATGATTACGAACGCCTCAAATTATCACTCTCCAAGGCGCTTTCTTCCTGCTACCCACTCGCCGGCAGGCAGAAGGATGAGTTCACGGTCGTGTGCAACGACGCCGGCGCCGATTTTTTTCGGGCAAACGTTACGAACCGCGATATGTGCGAGCTCCTCGGGCACCCGCGGCTCGACCTTCTCCGGCAGCTCTTCCCCCGTGACCCGTACCCGACGGATTTCGACCCTTCCCAGCCCTTGCTAGCTGTTCAGGTCAACAGATTTCGGTGCGGCGGAACGGCGGTGGCGATATGCCTCTGGCACGCTCTCGCCGATGGGTCTGGGCTTCTAGGGCTCCTGCAGACCTGGTCGCGGTTCAACCGTGGAGAAGGCCCGGCCGCCGACGCTTCCGCCAACCACCATGAAGGCAGTTTTGTCGTCGACCCCACTCTGATTTTCCCTCCGGTGAACTTCGAGATCCCGGCAGTGATATCCTCTGAAGCAGCGCGGAGGAGACGGGTCAGTGGAACATACATCGGAAAACGGTTCGTTTTCGCCAAGAAAGAGATCGAACGCATAAAAGACGAGATGCAGATGATCCCGCCTTGCTTCGGCCGCCCCCGCCCGACTCGCGTGGAAGCGCTGTCCGCTTTCATATGGGCTGCCGTGATCAGGGCAACTCTTCGAGTCACCCCGAACCTGAAGACGCACCTTCTAACGAACGTGGTGGACCTGCGACGGAGGATGGACCCACCATTCCCTCCCACCTGTCTGGGAAATATCAATCAAATAACTGACGCCAAATGGGCGGCAGACGCTGGAGCGGGAGCCATTACCGGCCAGTCCGTAATCGGAAGCGTTCGAGAAGCCATCGTGAAGGTGAACGACGGGTACGTGAGGAAAATGCATGGGGGTGGCGGATATCTCAGACAAATAATTGAGGCCAGAAAAGTGAAGGATTCTAGTGGGAGCAATATGAAAGAAGAAGAAAAAGAAGAGAGGTTACTTTACATGAGCACTTGGTTCAAGTTTGGGTGTCTAAAGGTTGACTTTGGGTGGGGGAAACCTCGGTGGCTGGGTCCGGGTAATAGTTTGGGTGATTTGGCTCTCTTATTGGACGCGGAAGATGGGGGCATTGAAGTTTGGGTTGGGTTGCCCAAACCAATTATGAACCATGTTGACCAAGATCTTGACTTCACTTCACATGTGGCTTTTAGTCAAATTATTTGGAACCCGTCGGAACTTCAACAACTGTTATCATCTCGACTATAAACTTCCACACGTTCATGCTTTAAGTAAGCTACGGAGTATATGTATATCTTTAAATTTGAATGCCCAGCCATATGAAAATATGGTAATCAGAATCAGTATGACTATTCACTTTTTTCTATTAAGTCTTTGTCTAAATTAAAATGTCTACTTATATTATGATATCTATCTGAATAAAATGATACTCCATATTCATAAACTCCCACCATCCCTTATTACTTAGTCAAACACTATTTTTGTTAAATATACAAAAGTGACGCACTACAAAAAAAATATGGGATTAACAGAGATTTTGACAGGGATTTGTCAAAGATTTTGATAAGGATATGTCAATTTTGTTCTAAAAACACTTTGATACGAGCTATTTGACATGAAAAATTGATAAACCCGTGCTAAATTTTGTGTCAATTCCATAATTTTTTTGTAGTGACATAACTTTGACCAATTATATACATTCACACACTGTAATATTGATAATACGAAATGATATGAAAATGTTTTTTTGTTTAAAAAACTTTCTTAAAATATGAACTTATTAAATCTCACATAAATATATTAGTTAAAATAATGGATCAAAGGTTATCATCTTTGACTAGAAACGTGAAAGATATGGCTAAGTAAAAAAGGGACAGAAACAGTATAAAGTATTTTATTTTATTTTCTGAATAATGAACAAACTGAACAAAAAAGTTCCTTTATGAATATAAATTTATTCCATAGTCGGTTAAAAATAGTTGAGTAGACGTCTTAATGTGAAGGACTACTATATCAGAGTACAACTCAATGCTTAAATAGATTTTTTGACGGAATGAATATGTCTTGCTTCGTATTAAGTTGTAAATAAACATGACTTAATGATTACACAATTAAATCCATATCCTCATGAAATCCATTAAATCGAAAGTAATAATTATTTTTAGCTATTTTTATTATAATTATTTATTTATAATTGGGTTTAATTACAGTAGAGAATTATTTTAACTATTTTTCTTATAATTATTTATTTACTTTATTAATAAAATATATTTTAAAAATACTTCGTATATATTTTCCATATTTATTCAGGAAATTCAGACAATTCATCCACTTCAAGAATTTTATGAGTTTCCACATATTCAACCAAGTTTTGTAATGCTCATTTAATTTATAGATTAAACTTTGTAAATAATAAAAATGACAACCTACATGAGAGATCATGAAGGATTAGGAGTCTGTTTGGTAACACTGAAATCAGCTGAATCGGTTGATTCTGCTGAAATCAGCTGAATCTGATGATTCTGCTGAAATTTATCAAGTTCTAGATGAAGTGTTTGTATTGGCTAATTTTACTAATTTTTGAGAAAAAAATTAAATATATTTTAATTATAAAATAAAGAAAAAAATATATGAAAAATAACTAAAATGGACATCTACAGTAACTTCAGTCAATACAACCAAAAAAATAACATCAACCTTATTTTTTCTTGTTTTTACACAACTCAAAATCACAAGTTGCGTATTTAGTTAAAAAGTTAGACGATAAATCTCACGGCGAAAAACAATGTTAGAAAGGCGCTCCTGATGGACAAAGTTGCACGGTAGGTATTCTACAATCACTGATCTTCACGAAATAGTTTGACTTAGTTCATAACTACTCGATCCGCATTGATTAACTTCGTACGAAAACTGATCCTGCTCACACCCCTAATTGTATTCCCTTTTTAGGCAAACAAATCTTAAATATAGGCAAATGAAAACAATAGTCTCTCTTTAAGGATGCTTTACTTGGACTTAATTTTTTAGTCTGATGTGGTCTGATAGGTTAAATTCTGGTCTGATCAGGTCAGGTAAGTGTCCGGTTTTTGTGTATTTTATAAGAGAAAAGTAATCAATACTACGTATATCCCAAACTTTGAAGAGATGTGAGATGAACACCCCAAACTTGCATATTTAATTTAAATACTCCAAACTTTATATAAAAATTTGTTTTGACACCATAGTCAAGTATTATCTCTTTCAAAAATGTAAATCTATGATGTTAATTGCATGATTTAAAATGTTTTAGAACTCATGCATGAAGACACAATTACTCCCTCTGTTCCTAAAAATTCTTCCTGATTTGACTTGACACGCTTATTAAGAAAGTGGAATAAAGTGGAAATGTATGGTTGTGGTTGTGTAAGAAAAAGGTAAAATGAATGTGAGCCACACAAATTGTCCAAAATGAGAAAGTGAGAAGTATTTTTGGGAACAACCCAAAAAGGAAAGTGGGAAGTATTTTTGGGAACGGAGGGAGTAACATTTTAAATTTCCATTGCAAAATAAGTAATGTTACCACCAATCTATATAATTGCAACACTTTTAATTTGCTATTTTAAATTATGCAATTAACACCATAAATTTACATTTTTGAAAGAAATAATGAATGACAATGGTGTGAAAATAACTTTTTTATATGAAGTTTGGGGTATTTAAATTACATATACGTACAAGTTTAGAATGCTTACCTCGCACCCCATCAAAGTTTGAGGTATTTTTATTATTTTTCCCATTTTATAACTAAGAATTCAAGTCTGGTTTGGTCTGATCTATTTCAGTTTGATCTGGTCTGATCTGTTTAAGTCTGATCCGGTCAGACCTGAAACTGAAAACGGTTGAAATAAAAGCATTGTGATTCCTCAAACCGCCGTACATGTACTTTATCATTAAGAAAACAATGGAGTTATTCTTCAAAATTCAAATATAAGCAAATCAAACTTAAATTACCGAAAAAAATTATGGGAGTATAAAATTTAATTTCTCTAAATGTGACTAATTATTTTAATTAGAGTATGTTCCTTATTCAAAATATTTTCATAAAAGTATAAAATTTATATAAATTATATACAAACATATGGAGTAATAATTAAAGTCATTGTCTAAAAAGTTTGTCAATATTGACTAAGACAGGTCAATATGGTAAACCTTTTCGGGACGGAGGTAGTAATTTCTTTGACAAATAATACCTCCCATTGCATACCTCAAGTCTAGTGGGTAGGGATGGGGCAGGGCGGGGCTATAAGGCAAGGCAAATATTGTCGGGGGATGGGTCAGAGGTGGGGATTGTTTAGACACCATGTCCCAACTCCACCTCATTGTCATCCCTAAGAGTAGTTTGACTTACTTTAACGGAAACCCGATCCTACTAACTCTTTACTTAGTAGTATTTCCTTAGCCAAATTTTACTTTCTCTGTTCCAAAAAGATTTGCTAAATTGACTTTTCTTGACCAATATATGATACTCCCTCCGTCCCGTTGGAGTTTGCCAAGTTTGACTAAAACTAGATTTAATGAAATGAAAACAGTGGCTTTGACTGGACCCTTATACCCTTTCATAAAATTATGCGGACAGAACAAGTAAATAGAAGAGGAGATTTAAAATGATTACAAAAGGAAATGGGTGGCTGACAAAAAGCAATAAAGTAGTCAACTGTACATGGCTACAATGCTAGCATTGTACGAAGTAATCTCTACACTTTGCAAGTTCAAAATAAGTACAAATAATTGGAGGGAAACTTTACAAAAGCTGTACAAAAATCTGCAAAACAGCTGAAATTTTTAACTTTTCCCTCCACAAACAACATTACAAAACCACATTCAGACCACATTCACTTCTTCTACCTACTACTCTTCTTGCTGGTCTCGCAGTTTTACTTCCATACCCAACAGAAAAATGGATTTAAATGCTATCTTTTTCTTGTACAGACCTTGTACTTTACAGTCCACCTCTAGCTTTCTCACCTCCTCTTGTGCCTGAGGAAACACAAGAAAGACAAACGAATATTCCCAAGAAGTACACAGTGCTATCTCACAAGGCCAGAAAAAGAGCTGTGGACCAACTTTTAGCTGAGTCCAACAATGGCAAAATTCGTAAAGGCATAATAAATGCTATAGCAGCTGAATTTAATGTATGCAGTAGAACAATGTTTGGAATTTGGATAAAAGTGAAGACACAAATGCAAGTTGGAGCAGACATTGATGTGAAACCTAAATGGAAAGGAAAGAGTGGCATCAAAAAAATTGAGATTGACATTGAAAAGATGAGAAGCATCCCCATTTACAGAAGAAGCACAATGAGGTCACTGGCAGTTGAAATAAATGCTTCTAAATCTACAATTCAAAGGTTGGTCAAAGTTAAGGCAATTAAAAGACATTCAAGTGCAGTTAAGTCCATGCTAACACATAAAGGTATGAGGTTAAGAATGCAGTTTTGTTTAAACCATTTAATTCCTCATACAATTCCATCCAACCCCACTTTTCATGATTTTACCGAGTATGTGCATATAGATGAAAAATGGTTCAATCTAACCAATGAAAAGCAGAATGTGTATATGCACCCCGATGAATGCGATCCGTTAAGGGCTGTCCAAAGTAAACGATTCATACCAAAAGTTATGTTCCTTGCTGTCGTAGGGAGGCCTGTATTAGGGGAAAACAGAGAGGTGTTATGGGATGGCAAGATCGGGGTTTTCCCATTTACTTATCAAGATACGGCTAAAAGAAACAGCAAAAACAGAGAAAGGGGAACTCTACTCACAAATCCAATTCTTAGTGTCACAAGAGAGGTCATAAAGCAATTTATGATCGAAAAAGTATTGCCGGCAATCAAACTGAAATGGCCAGCAGGAGCTAGTAAACGCATTATCATTCAACAAGATAACGCAAAACCACACATTGAATGTCATGATTTAGACTTTGTTGCTGCTGCAACAGAGGGTGAATGGGCTATTGAGTTAACATGTCAGCCACCAAATAGTCCTGATCTTAATGTGTTGGATTTGGGATGGTTTAGGGCTATTGATGCACTAAAGCATAAAAAGGGTGCAAGAACTTTAGATAAATTAGTGCATCATGTTGAACAATCATTTTATGAGCTGGACCCGATATATCTTAATCGAGTGTGGTTGACATTGCAAAATGTTATGGTGGAAGTGTTAAAATGCAAGGGACATAACAAGTATAAATTGCCTCACATGGGAAAGGAAAGGTTAGAGAGACTAGGCATGTTGCCAAATGCTATTTCAGTGGACCCTATGTTGGTTGAGGAAGCTATTGCTTATATTGAGTTACCAATGGAGGCAGTACTGACAGAAGCTGAACAAACTGAGTTACCAATGGATCCTATGTTGTAGACTGTTTTTCTTGTTCACCTAGCCCATTTTGCTTAGTTTTTTTGCTTAACATGTCGTGTTTAACGGGTAGATTGTTTTTGAAGGGTTTTAGACTATTTTTTGCTCACCTAGCCCATTCACCTTAGTTTTTTTGCTTAACATGCAGTGTCCATTTTTGCTTAAAAACTAAAACTATATTCATGTGAACAAAGTGAATTTTGCTTTGATTTGAAGGAGTAAAATTTGGCAATTTGAATGTGTCTAAGAGTTCACTTTTACATAATAGAAGTGGCAGTAAAAGGTTGAGAGTAATGAAGGTATAAAGATTGAATCCAAGATTCCAGTTGAAAATCACTTCATATTCTTGCTTTGATATGGTTCCAAAAAAATCCTCTAACAAATGAAGTACTCCGTAAGATATTTCAGTGGCGGTGAGATTGCAATCCACCAGAATTTAACTGATTTAAGTATGATAAAATTCAACTTTAATTAATAAATAATCAAACAATAGTCTAGAAACAAATCGGTCAAAATTCTCAAATAGCAACATCAAACAATAGGTTTTCCAATAACAGAAATAGTAAGGAGTAATTTAACCTACCTGGAATGGATGAATCTCAAGGCTGAATTTTTGAATCAGGAACATCTTCATCTTCTTCGCAGGTCACCATCATCTTCTTCGCATCTCACCATCTATTTTCTTTGTCTTCTTCCTCCGGATCTGGAATTTCGCAGGTCATGTTCGCAGGCTCTTCCGGAAGATTGTGGTCACCATCTTCGTATTTTGCAATTTTGCAAGAGCATGTCATGTTACTAGTCTCTTCCGGATCTGTTATCTACGGAGTATTTCACAGTTGATTCATTGATCGTAGAAACAAGACTCCACAAATAAGGGAGTTCTGAGGGAATCGATGGTCTGCGGCGCCTGAAGCGCAAGAGAACGATGGTCTGCGGCGCTCGTTAGCTGGGTGGGTTTGAGTTCGTTTTTTCTGGGCGTCTTGGTCAAAAACCTCTCCTCAGTCCATTTCTGAGCTCGGATTTGCGATTGGAACGATGATTTCTGGCCAACAACTCATGCTCTGAACTTGTTGCACTGTTCATCCGCCAGGTAGATTTTTGTTTAATACCTTCGTCTGCGGCCATTAATCCTAGTTTTACTGTGTGCTTGGTGTTCGCCGTCCTGAGCCGCACCTTCTACACCTCTTTTTTGGGCGAGGTGAGGTCACGCGGTTGGTCACCGATATTTGGGTCGCTGTTTCTTCTTCGTTAATTGCCCAGACAGGCTATGGTGCGAAAAAAGCAGGTCGAGACGTCCACATTAGGAAATACCAGCTCCAGGTTTGCGCTTCTAACAGAAATGGACGAGGAATTCCCAGCCCTAATTTCTGGGAATAATGTGAAGAAGACAACAACATCACTTGAGGTTGCCATTGCCTCGTCTGCAGCTGCTACTATTGAGGCTGAGTCCTCTGTCCCAGGTGCAGGGACTTCTGCTAAGAAAGCCCAGGCTGGAAATGCTGTTACCAAAGCTGGGGTTGAGACAAAACAGGGGAGTTTTATCCAAACTGCAGCTCCACTTGCTTACGCTACAAAGGTCCACAATGCTACTGCTAACCTGTGGCAATGAAATTGGTACCTAAACCTGGGGCACCGGCAGTTCAGCCTACTGTTAAGGGGCCATCAGCTTCTGGACTGCTAGTTTCGGACAAAGCTTTAGGTACTGGGGCTGAGAAATCCTCGTTAGATGCTAGTAAAGAGACTGAAATGGTACCAAAACCATGGAGCACTCTATTTAAAGACAATCGTGATCCCACTCATGGGCTCAAATTGAGATTTGTCCAACCAAAAGGAAACTCTCTGGACTTTGCTGATAGGGTGCTGCCATCTATGGTTGAGATGTGGGGGTATTGCCTCGTCGGTTTTTTCACGGGTAAATTCCCCGGCCTAAAGGCCATCCATGAACTTAAACAAAAATGGGGTGTGAGATGTCTTGTGAGGAGCCATGACAAGGATTGGATTATTTTCAAGTTTCAAAATGAAGCAGATAGAACTCAAGTGCTAAAGGAGGGGCCCTACACGATCTTTGGGAAATCCCTTATGCTTAAGGTACTCTCGGAGGATTTCTCTTTTGAAGATAAAGAATTCCTCAAAGTTCCTATTTGGGTCAAATTCCCTAACCTACCTATGAAATTATGGAACGAGGATGCTATGAGTGAGGTTGCTTCGATGGTTGGGGTCCCATTCACTACGGACAAAGTCACCCAAGAAAGGACAAATCACAAGTTTGCTAGAGTGTTAATTGAGATCGATGTTTCAAAGCCGCCAACACTATCATTTCCTATACGGCTACCTTCACGCAAGGTTGTCAAACAATTTGTGGTTTATGAAACATTTCCTAACTTTTGCTTTCATTGCAAAGAATATGGGCACCACCCATTTATTTGCAAAAAGCTCTCAAAGGAAAATTTGGAGAATGATGAGAAGGAAAACAAAGGTGAGATTGAGGTTGAAAATTCTACACAACAAGAAAAGAAGGCTGCTGCCCGGGAAGGTACTCTAGCTCCAGGGGCTAACTCTACCCATGATACTGCTGATTTTGAAGTTACTGCTGATGCAATTGATGATATTGTTGCTGTGCTTGAAGAAGATTCTGTTGCTGCGGTTGTACAAACTGCTCTTGAAGCTACTGCTGAATTTAAAGAAACTATTTCTGCGTTTAATGAACCTGCTGCGGTACCATCTGCCCAAGAAGCTACTGCTGCGTTTAAAGAACCTGCTGCTACTGCGCTTAAAGGGGTTGCTGCTGCTGTTCCCAATCAAGCGTTTAAAGAGGGTGCTGCAGCTGCTGCTTTTGAGGAACCTGCTGCAACAATTGAAGCTGCTGCATGTGATGAACCTGCTGCAGAAATTGAGCTACCTACTGTGTTCAAAGAGGGTGTTGCAGCTGCTGCATTTGAAGAACCTGCTGCAGCAATTGTAGCTGCTAGAGCTGCTGGAATGGGAGTTACACCGACACAAGTTCATGAAGTGGAAGCCGTTGCTACTGCCGCGCCGGACCAGCTGTTGCAACCTCCCAAACCACTTGTCAGCTACACTCTAAGAGTCCGTGTGGGGAAGGATGGGAAGAAAAGATTTTTTAAAAATGATGTTGAGATTAGTAATAATGTATTGAATTAATTATCTCGGGGCCTGTCCCGATATTTACTAGTCTGATGGTTTGGGATGTTTAAATCTAGGTTATTTTATTCTATCCTAGGTAGTCCGCTTTGATTTTTAGACGCATTGTATGATGCTATTTTTGGGTGTTAATACAATTACCTTTCATCCAAAAAAAAAAGACTCCACAAATAAAAAAGGAAAATAAAGGTGAGGAGAGATAAGAGAGTAAAAAAAGATGCCTGGCAAGGGAGATGTTGAGTGGGTTTCACTGTACAGGCACATGTGCAGTAGCTACTCCGTATAATTTTAAACTTTAGGGTAATAAAGTCTTTTAGCATACTTTTGTGTGTTAAAAAAGGTATTTGGCAAAGTCCAACGGGACAATTTAAAAAGGGAATATGGCAAAGTCCAACGGGACGGAGGGAGTAATAAGCTTTGACCAATTATATTTTTTAATACAAAATTATTTCGAATATGAAAATTTATACTACGTATTAAAGTGTTCCTTATTCAACACATTTTCATAAAAGTATAAAATTTATAAATTATATACAAATATAATAATTAAAATGACTATCCAAAAATTAATAAAAAAAATTCTAAAGTTTTAGCAAAAAGGATGAAAGGAATATTGAATACTCTGGGTAGATCTATAATTGATAATATTATAGTCACTTTTGAGACCCAACATTATTTAAAAAGACAGATTTATTGCGCTCAAGCTTGATATCAGTAAGACATCTGATAAAGTTGATTGGTCTTTTTTGAGGGCAGATTTATGCAAAATAGGGGTTAATAGCCGATGGGTTCATATCATTATTGTAACACCGACCCCGAGCATATTTACTTTTAGTAAATTATGCAATAAACCTTGAGAGATGATTTATGAATTTGCGTAATTGTAAATTTTTTATTATTTCTTTTACGTGAATAGTAAATTGCATGCGGGGCCCACAGCGGGAACGGGGACCGCCCGGTAATTCCCGAACCACATATTATATTCATCTTGGTCTAGATAATATATATGGTGGTGGATATTTTATTTGGGCCATAAGAAAGGCATGGAGTTGACCGGTTGGTCAAACGGGGCCCAATTACCGGTATTGGTGATTTAGCGGATAACAGCCCGAAGTGAGTTTCGGAGACTCCTAAATTAATGTTGGGGAATGTACATCTATTCTAAAGGCCCATAATTATTGGGAACACGTGATATACTTTATCCGGCCCGATAAAATAAAATATGATTAAAATAGTCCGAAAAATACAACTTTCGGGGCCAATTATACACACCGGGACGTAATGGGATGACCTCCCACATAAGTGGGGGCCATCCCACGTTTTTGTGATCTGATTACCAAGGAAAGAGCTGGGAAGAAGCTCCTAGGGACAAAACCCATACCCACCATGATACCCTACCCCTTGTTTTATTGGTTGACTTAGAGGAGTAGGGATGATCTCTTATCCTCACACTCACTCTACACCATACGCACAAGAAGGGAGGGAGAGGGTCTTGGGATAGCTCTGCCAACAGGAACCTTTGAGGAAGCAAAAAGGAAGTGAAATCCAGGAGGAAAATCTAGAAGAAGAGGTAAGAACACAATTTCTACTCTTTTAACTAGTTTTATGGTGTATGATTTGTAAGAAATCATATGATGGATTAAACATGATGTTCTACACGTTTAAAAGTGTAGAATATTGATATAAAGTGGTGATATTTAACTTAGAAGAGTTGGTGAATCGATAGGAGTCGAAATCGCCGGAAACCGCCACTTTAAGGGAGCTGCTCGTTTCTGCAGAACACGAAAGCCGCCCGGCTTTCGTGAAAGCCGCCCGGCTTTTGCCCAGGCAGTCCAGTTTTGCCTTTCAATCGGCCTAGAACGGGAATTGATCGAGGGGCGTAACAAAGACAACTATTGTAGCACATCACGAGGTGAGGATGGCTGACTATATTGCTTATAATTAGTGAGTTAATTTCATAAGAATGCCTAAAGTAATTAGATGGGATTTTCATGGACTATTAAAGATTAATAATTTCTAAATGAAAATAATATGTATATGAGTAAGTGAAGCATGATATACAAATTTAGAATAATTGTGTATGATTATGTGAAATGAATGGAATGGCATGTTAATGGAATTACTAAGATGACATTGTGATAAAATATACTTTACTTCATGTATGAGATTCATGAATGAATTAAAGTGATATTTTTGATATTGAGATTAAACTATACTTGGATTGAGAAATCAATGGAAATGAAATGCAATATGGGAAATAGGAACTTGGCATGTTCTAAGGTTGTCCAATTAGTATCAAAATACTAGTTGGGGAATTAATATAAATAAATGATGAAATAAATCCTAAGAGGTAGGATTGTGAATAGATATGCCTTGAGTAGTCTCAAGAGATACTTAAGGATGAATGGTATGAACACTAAGGAGTGATTAGGGGTAGGCCTAAAGGCCACCTCCGGAAATTGATTCTAGGCATAAGACTTGCTTGAGAATTTGATTATGAAAATGAATAGAGTTGGACTCTAGGATGACATGGAGATGTAGTTGGGCCGAGCCCATGCCATGTAATACGATTAGCATGGAAACGTAGTTGGGCCGAGCCCTTGCCATGTATATGTGACCTCCGTGGAAACGTAGTTGGGCCGAGCCCTTGCCACGAAGTTATGGTTGGTATGGAAACGTAGTTGGGCCGAGCCCTTGCCATACAAATGTTGATATGATACATCGAGTTAGAGGATTGTATAGAGATGTAGTTGGGCCGAGCCCATGCTATACAATTAGGGCTCGATGGGACCCCACGGGGTTATCGTGACTCGCGGTCACGGGGGAATGGAAATGGTGAATTCTAAATGAATATGGGCCTACGGGCCGTCTACTTGACTTTATGTAAAGTAAGTACAGTTAAAGGTAAAAAGGGGTAACCGAGGGTTATGGCCTATAATATAATAGTACCCTAAGTTGAGGGTCTTGGAAATTAAAACGTTGATTATACTTAGTATAGTTGCTATTGTACTTGTCAAATATTTCCAAGTACTGACCTCCCCTTCACGGGGGAGGCCACCTCACAGTTTCAGGTAGAACGTGAAGGTCGCTGCCATTGCCCGTTGCTTCGGGAGGAATCAAGGGAAGAAGACGTGGTTCGTGCTTCTCCCGTTCTGTTTTAAAAACAATTACACTAATGCTCATGGATAATATTTTCTGAATAATTACTTTGGGGGCTTGCATGCCTAGTTATGCCAAGTGTGGCTTGAACAATTGTATTAATGCTTCCGCTGTTTTAAATGCATGTTTTACATTATGTTTGTTTATGGATGTACTACGTGTGAATGATATTCATGACGCCTTGTATAGTATGGATGAGTTGAACTGCGATTGACTATTCGTACTGTACGGCGGGTTGTTGACGTGTCCGGCTAGGTCCGGGGCGTGACAATTTAATTGGTATCAGAGCCCTTAGTCCGTAAACGTCATAATGAAGCTTCAAAATGCTTTTTGAAAATGAAAGTGAAAACCATGAGCATAAGGTTTTGTACTTATAGAAATTTTGGTACTTGAGTTGCAATGTCTCTAATTGTTAAGATGGTACCCTTAACAATTGGTATGGCGGTGATTTGAGCCAAGGGATGTCTTTATGTACCTATCCGTCAATTGACATTTGATACGAGTCTAATGACTCATTCTCAATTTCTTTCAGAAACGGAAGGTACCGGGAAAGTGACTAGAAGAAACCCGACTGGCCGAGCACCGGGAGGATCCGTGCAAGGCAGTAGAGGGGATTCTAGGGTGTCCCGAGGACAGGGCCGTGGAGGCCGAGATCGGACCGTGAGTGACAGTTATGTGGAAACAGTCAACGAGAACGAGTCCTATGAGTCCGAGGAGGATTCGACGTAACGACCGGGAACTGAGCCGGTTGAGACCCCATATGATGGGGAGTATGACGATGACAGTGAGGGGAGCGACGATGATGACGCTCTAGAAAGGATGGAGGAACTACTCCGTCAATTTCAGCAAGATCGCCAAAGGCGCCGGGCAAGGCGTGCTTTGGGAGAGGCTTCAAGAAGGGGAAGCCATGCGGGTTCTAGGGGACATGTGGAGTCCCGAGTAGATCGAGGTGTCGAGGTCCCAATAATAAGGATCTCGAAGTACCTCAAAGAAGCAAGGGATTTGGGGTGTAAACCGTTCGATGGAACGGGGGATATATCCGTTGCGGCGGAGTGGATCAAGCGGTTCAATGAAGCGGCCCTTGACATGCAGCTGCCGCCAAACATGAAGATGAGAGTAGCAACAAGGTTGCTAGAGGGGATGGCGTCCACGTGGTGGGACGGTGTCAAGGGGAAGTACGGTGAGGCCGTAACTTGGGAGAATTTCCGACAGGAATTCTTCAACCAATACTACTCCGACTTCGAGGTGAACTTGAAGAGGAGAGAATACACCAACTTGACCCAAGGAGGCAAGTACACCGTGAGGCAACTTGAGCACAAGTTCAGGGAGCTCGCGGAGTTCATACCGGAGTATGCTTGTGATGAGAACCGGATGGTAAATCACTTTTGGGATGCTTTGGATTTAGACGTGCGTGAGCGGGCAACACAATTGCCCAACATGACGTTTAGCCAAGTGGTGGAGCAGGGCCTGAAAGGGGAGAAAGAATGGGAAGAGAGAAAACTGAAAAACGCCGAGGAGGCGAAGAAGAGGAAATGGGAGAACACCGGCCCCCAAGGTTCTAGCAAGAAGGGGAACCACGGGGGAGGTGGGTCTTTCAGAATGCCCGCACCACCATCTAGGGGAAATCAAGGCCCAGGAGGGCACGGCTCGAGGTCACAAGGCTCGGGCATTAGCAAGTGCAACAATTGCAAGAGGAACCACGCGGGCAAGTGCCGCGATCCCCCTAGGTGCTACCAATGCGGGGAGACGGGGCACTTGAGATCAAACTGCCCACAACTCGGGCGAGCCATGGGTGCAGGGCCTAGCAGCGGAACTACGGCAAGTAGGAACCGAGCAGGGGCACTTCACGCGAGCACGGCGCACGGAGGGCCAAGTACAAGCAACGCGCCATCCGTGAACCAAGGCAAGACCCAAGCTAGGGTCTATGCGATGACGAAGGCGGACGCACGTGCCAACCCGGACTCTGTTACGGGTAAATTCTTAAACTCATGTTATT